TTTGATCAAATCATCAGACGTCAACTAGACCCCGTCTGGCATCGCACAACGTTCAAGACGCGACAGGTCGTCCGAGATCTGTCCCTGCTTCGCACTATTCTGCATGCCCTTCTTACCTATGATGCGGTGAACTTCAACAAGTACCTCGATACTGTGCTTGCAGCCTCGCAACCACCGCCAGGGTCAACAAAGCAGAATCAGTCTCCATGGTTGTTCCTAGACGCGGCCGATACCATCTTTACCACTGCCAAGCGAAGAGTATACACGGGCAAGGTATCTAATGTGGAACTAGCGAACGCCTCCAATGCTGTGCCAGAGTCGCTGCAGCCTGTCCTAGAGGAATTTCCCAAGTGGACGCAGCTCGCAGAAATTCTGCAAGAGATAGAGCAAGATGCCTACTTCAACCCAACACCGCAAGACTCGTCTAACGGTTCTATACTCATCATGTGCGGCGACCAAGGTACAGCGTCACAGCTGAGAGAGTACCTGCAGACCATGTACGTCAAGCCAGAGGGTGTTGCAGACGAAGAAGAAGACGAGTACGAGCCATCGGCGAACTTCATGATGCGACGCAAGCTACGGAGTTATCTCACCTGGAAACGCGACTTCAGTAAGGTCAGCGCTGCGTTGTTCTCAGAGAATCAGAAAGCCATCAACACTAGCACAGACAAGAATGTTCAAAGCGGTATGCGTCAGACTTCCGGTAAACCTCCGCCTAACAAGCGGCGCCGCATAAGAGGAGGCGGAAATGCCGCAGCAGGGCCATCGCGGTCTGATACAGGAGCTGTTCGGACAGCAGGAGACCGCGACGCCCATATTGCAAGTCTAATGGCCGAACTGGAACCCACCGAGATCGAATCAGCACAAAAGCCCGGCGACGTAGGTTTTGACCCTCTCGACAACATGGAAAGCTTCTACGAGCTCTTCGACATGAACTCTCTCATCATCGTACACCCCTATTCCGGAGACCTAGACGAGCACATCTTGGACGAGACAAAGCCGCGATACGTCATCATGTACGAGCCCGACGCAGCTTTCATCCGGCGGATAGAAGTATACCGATCATCCCATACAGACCGAACAGTGAAAGTCTTCTTCATGTACTACGGCGGCAGCGTAGAAGAACAACGATACCTCTCCGCCGTGCGCCGCGAAAAAGACGCCTTCACCCGCCTCATCAAAGAGCGCGCAAACATGGCCCTAACCATGAACTCCACCGCCAACCTCGCGCCCGAAGAATCCTTCCTGCGCACAATCAACACGCGTATAGCCGGCGGCGGCCGCCTAGCCGCCACCACCGAACCCCCCCGCGTCGTCGTCGACGTCCGAGAATTCCGGTCCTCGCTCCCCTCGCTCCTCCACGGCCGGTCCATCGTAATAGTCCCCTGCATGCTCACCGTCGGCGACTACGTCCTCACCCCCCAAATCTGCATCGAGCGAAAGTCCATCCGCGATCTAATCCAATCCTTCGCCAACGGCCGCCTGTTCAACCAAGTCGAATCCATGATGGAACACTACAAACACCCCATGCTGCTCATCGAGTTCGACCAAAACAAGTCTTTCACCCTAGAACCCTTTACCGACTACTCGGCCGGCAGCAGCAGCAGTTCCTCCTCCTCCGCCAACGGCCCCGCCACAACACCAGACCTCCAGTCCAAACTCGTCATGCTCACCCTCGCTTTCCCTCGCTTGCGTATCATTTGGAGTAGCAGTCCGTACCAAACGGCCGAAATCTTCGCAGAGCTCAAGAAACAGCAGGATGAGCCTGATCCGATGAAAGCCGTGCAATTGGGGCTTGATCCGAATCAGAGTGGGGATGAGATGCGCAGTTTTAATCAGACGAGTCAGGATATGTTGAGGGCGCTGCCGGGGGTGAATGAGAATGTGGTGTCGACGTTGATGCTTAAGAGCGAGAGTGTGTTTGAGGTGGCGAATATGTCGGAGAGGGAGATTTGTTGGTTGGTGGGCACGGATGTGGGGAGGAGGGTGCATAGGTTTTTTAATAGGAGTGTGTATGAGGAGGTGCAGTGGCAGGGGTTTAGTTAGGGGATTTGGATGTTAGAAGGTAGAGAGAACAGGAATCTTGGGAAGTTAGGTAGTTTGGATGAAGATTATGCGTGTATCATTTCTCTATCCCATCATGCTTTCACGAAAACTCCAAAAGCATGTTAACATAAAAACATGCCGAATAACCTCATGATCATGATCATCCATACGGAACCATGTATATCCCTCAACATCCCTCAAAACCATCCGCCCGCTCGCAAGAAGCAGCATTTGAGCAGCCCGGCCCCCGCCACAGCAAAGCAGCAGCCGCAAAGCAGGAGCCGAGACAGCATGGCGGATCTGCGCAGCCTCCCCCTCAAATGTCGTCAATATCAATCTCCTTCTTGCCGGTACCGTCGGCCTCGTCCGAATCGCTGTCGTCGCGGTCCTCGTCGAACTCGAAACCGATGCCCTCGTCGCCCTGGTCGCCGTACGTGTCGGTCTCGTTGATCTTTGCGTTTTCGGGGAGTTCGCCGTAGGCTTTTAATGAGCGGGCTTCGTCGGCTGTACCAAGTCAATACCATGCCTTACAAGCTTTGTTGTGAGTGCGAGTGAAGACTTACCAGAGTACTTCATAATAACATCGCCCTTCTCGTCCTGGTAGTCTCGCAGCGACAGCAGGATAATGTCGCCCTGGTTGATCCAGACCTTCTTCCTCAGCTTGCCGCGGATATGGGCGAGACGGCGGGCGCCGTCGAAGCACTGGGCTTCCAGACGACCGTTTCCGAGCATCTTGACGACTTGGGCGTATTCTTGGCCTTCCTCTTTGAAGACGAGTTCGCGCTTTTCGTTGTCGTTCTCGTTCTTACCCCTACGTCGGTTTTTACCTCCCTGATGGATATGTTAGCAGGTGCATCGTGGCATGTGAGAGGAAGCGCCGCATCGCCCAGACATGGAAAGCGCCGTGAGTTTGGGCGTCAGGCGCTGGGAGAAGTGGCGGGGCAGCCCCTCCAAAAGAGCGCTGGACATACCTTTCCCTTGTTCTTCGGCATGGTGGGCGGTAGTCGAAGTGTGTATTAGTGTGGGTGGAGTTGTGTTTGGTGTTGGTGGCAGAAGCGTCGGCGGGCGCAAGTCTTTATGTAGTGGCGGCTCGACGGTTGTTTGCACTGTGGATTCCGACTCACTGTGGGAGCCTTCGACACTGCGCGCTAAGCCCGTTTACAGTCTAGCGCCTGGTCGCTCACCCGGCCGAAAATCAATCCATCCGTGGTCCTCGAGCCTTTTCACCCCCACCCGCTGCTCCTTCACCCTACGTCACCGTGCATACACACGAGAGGCATGGGATAGCCATGTCAAAGAATGCCGTCTACTCGCTCCTCGCCAGACAGCAGCCGCGCACGTTCAAAGTCAGCTATGCCACCGACTACAAGCACTTCATCCTCAACCACGTAGCGTCCGATCCCCAGCACCCCCTCTGCGAGACGCAGCGCCGCAGACAGAGAGAAAAGAAGAGGGAGGGACTGTGGTGGCATGCGACTACCCCCGCCGACCTGAACAAGTCCAGCTGTGTAAGAACATGGGCTAGACGGCGTCTGCGCAACGCTATCAAAGAAGAGCTTCAAGCCCGCGGATACGACGAGAATGGCAAATTTGTCTATCCTGAGGTCCGGAAGAGCCAGCCAGGTCTTTTGAATACGCTGCGCGCGGGCAATACGCTGGATCTGACGGGCAGCTTGAGGTTCCATGTCGAGCCGCCTCTGGTCCCGGCCAAGTATGTAGATGTACGCGCAGAGGCTGCCGCTGTCATAGACGCTCTGATCAGTGCTCAGAGGGGCGCAGTTGGGGGTTTCGCTTCAGCGAAGCCAACGAAGACTCGTTCTTCGTGGAACCCGCCTGTTGCTGCGCAAGAGCGTCCGCGTCAGATCTTCAAACGCGTGGCGACGCGCACGGGGTGATTGTGGCTTCACAGGCTGAATGAGCTCGTAGAGACCGACTGAGCTGCATCATCGCTGAAAATGAAGGGCCTATTACGCTGCCGCCGGTCAGCGATGCCCTGGCGTATGTAGTAATACAATCTTCACCGAGCCTCTCAACAATCCGCAATATCATCGGCGGTCGTAGATTAGAATGAAGAGAAAACGAACGTTCACTCGGAAGCATACATAGCGACTCCTTACACGCGCTCCTGATCAGCCTCGTGTCATCATGTCATCATCTCGCTTCTTACCCACCTGTTATTGTAACAGCTTCGGCACAAACCTCCGCTCCAGACTTGCGATCCACATGCTCGCTGTCTCTAATTGGCAAGGGAGCTTTTTCGGCCCCAGCCGTGGTTCTTACCGCAAGCACCATGGTTGGGTGGAGGTAAACACCGCTTTTCTACAGTCATCTACGGGGTTGCCTTGTGTTTACTAAGTAAGGCAATCGTTTTGAATGCTGGGTATGATCTTGCCGATATGGGTATGTGGGAGATGGTACTGTGGATTATGGCGGAATTTGCACCGGGCCAATGGGAGTTTGATGTTCTAGGTGTAGTTCTTGTGAAGGTCTTGTTGGGTTGGAAAGGTGGTTTGGATGAAGCATAATCAGCGTTCTTCCCTTGAATGTGGTGAATCAAGACTGTCGCCAACGATGGGAAGAATAGACGTAGCACAAAATTTAAACAGCAAAAAGACGCAACAGAGTATTACACGGTAACAAATCCAGATTCAGAGTTCACGAAGTTCTATGCAGTACGCATCCTGGCCAATCACCGACTTCGGAACTAAATCCGGGTTGAGGTCCGCTCGGAACGGATTGGACGGTCGACTCGCTGACCCACCATCAATGACAGCACATCCGTCGTACATCTACACAGGCAAGTCATTATACGACACAACATCATTGCGTATCTGCATCCAACATTGGCTTGAGATAAGCTCTCATAGTCAAGTTCAAAGACATCTGTCGAACAACCTGTAATCACCAGCATCTCAACGTTCACGAAGAGTCATCACCACCACAAGCGGCTCATCATGGCATCAGAAGACGAGTTCCAGCTCTTCACATCCCTGAGATACGATCCACTACTGCTCCAATCCGAGGAAAACTCCAGAGCCATCTTGAACTTCGTCACGCCGTCACCCTTCTACATGCTCGCATACCACCGAGACCGGATGGTGGAAGCCGCACAGCACTTTGACTTTTTCGAAGTCGAGAAAAGACTGAAAGATGGGAAGGCATTGCATGAGGAACTGTTGAAGCGAGTGCAAGACGAGATGAAGAAAACAGGAAAAGACGAAGCAATGAAGGTACGACCTGCAAGAGACCATTCCTACACATGACTAAGAACAACCCAGCTCCGACTCCTCTTCGACAAAGCCGCCAATCTAACCGTGGAATGTACTCCAATCCCAGCCGTCCCCCTATCAACCCTCTACCCCCCATCTCTAGACCCACCATCCCCATCCCCACCCCACCATCCCGCCAAACCCAACACCAACACCACCACAAAACCATTCACGCCCTCCCCCCTAACAGGCGGCGCCCTGTACCTCGGTCCCACAGACAGCCTCCCAGCCGGCGATTCCCCCCAATCCTCCCTCCCCCCTCCACCCCCACCAGAATGGAAAATCGCCGTCGACACCTCCCCCACCCCCTCCTCCCCCTTCACCCTCCTCAAAACCACAAAACGCGAAATGTACGACCAAAGCCGTCTCCGCGCCTTACCTCCCAACCCCGCTGGTCCCGCTTACCGCGAAGTCATGCTCTACAACGAAGTCCGCGAGCTAACCGAAGGCACACTAACCTCCCTCTATCTCTTCCGCGGCGGGAGGTGGGTTACGCCGCCTGTCGGCGTTCCCTCGGGAGAGTTTACGAGGAAGACGTTGAGGGATGATGGGGCTGATGAGGGGGAGTTGAGGAAGCCGTTTGCGGGGAGGTGGGGGCATAGTACGAGGAGTGCCAAAGTGGGGGCTGGGGGGCAGAGGGGGACGAGTAGGCGGTGGGCGTTGGGGAGTGGGTTTTGTATGGAGGAGCCGGTGGGAATTGAGACTGTGAGTGTGGGGGAGGGGGTGTGGGTTAGTAATGGGGTTAGGGGGTTTGGGTTTGGGAGGGTTGTTGGGTAGATGGTGGATTGGAGACTGGAGTGTTGAGATTGAGTATTGGATTATCTGGCTGAGGTTGAGACGAGAGTATATTAAGTTACGCTACTGATTATACGCACATTCTCTACATTGCCGTACTGAATACCTATATGTTGAATTATATGGAGTTACCTGACCCCGTTCTGTTGCCTTTATCTGCATAAGCACTCCACCGTGATACTTGAACATCCTGCGCTTTACCCATTCTTACTGCTCCACGACGCCATCTTCGGTGAACTCGCTGCCCTCGTTACTCTTACCATCCATGCTGTTGTCGCTACCCCCGTCGTGGTCACCATCTTCACTATTGGCTTCATCAGCGTGATCCTCCGCCACCTCTTGGCTCTTCTCTGCTGAGCGTTGGATGAGTCGAAGTCGTAGGACCTGACTCGGCTGCGGCTCCTCTGGATTCTTCTCGATAGAAACGAGAGCTCGAGCCACCAGGAAAGATCCTTCCCAACCATGATACTTGCCCGGCTCCTCAGGAAAGAAATCCCTCGATTCGAGCAGAGCATCTTTGTAGTTGTCTATGGTGGGATCGAAGCCGCTGATGTTAGTCCATTCTGGCTCTGGAATGCACTTGTAAAGCGCAGGGCTGAGGCAGACTTTAACCCGATACTTCGACCAGTCTTCCCCAAGTCCCGGACTATCTCCATTTTCGAGGAAGCCATGCATCGTCGCCTTGTCGAAGGGTACTCCAGGTGGCGGGAACGCCATCTTGTGATGTTGATTGGATACAAGAAGCTCGATCTTGATTATCATGGCATATTTCAGCCATGTCGTGAGCTCTGCACGCTTTGTGTCCAGCCAGGGAATGAGCTCACGGAACTCCTCGATGAAGATGTCCATTTGGTGTTTGGCCTTGGCGGGTAGTTCGTTGTCGCGGAAATGCTTGTTGTTGATCTTGAAGAGTGTAGCTCTCGTATCTTGATTGCGCACGGATTTGAGTCCGCCTGGCTTGGTTAGTTGTTATCCGCGGCAGGCTTGATAGATGCTTACCTTCTAGAGCTATCGACTGCCACAGGTCCTCCAGTTTCTCTGAATCTAATCCATCGGTGTGAAAACTAGTATCGTAGACCCATCGTAGTGCGTAGGATTTGAACAAGGCCGCGTGGATGTTGACGTCGGTGGGTAGGCCCGTAACATTAGCGAAGCACGCCGAGAGTGCTAAGTTTCCGGTCTGTGCTAGTGGTAGCCCGGTAATGGTACGCATAGCGATCTCGAACTTCGCAGGGAGGACATATTGAGGACTCAGGGTGGTGGCCATGTTGTATTGTGGGAAGACACGTGCCAAGCATTCCATGCGATGAGACCATATTGGACCAAGACACTGTATGTCGTATTCGACTGGGTATGCCTGAGACCGAGGGATGAGATGAGGCTCTCTTAAGTTATCGAGCATGCATTTCTGATGGCCTACAAGTGCTTCCTTGTTCTTGAGGCGCTCTTCGAGAAGCTGATTCCTCTCTTTGCACTGCCTAAGTTCAAGGGCCTGAATAGACAGCGTCGTTTTCTCGTTCAAAGATCGCGTCTCTACTTGCTGCTTGAGAGTAGTAGCATGTTGACGAAGTTCAGCATGGCTTGGTGTTTGAAGCTCTTCGACTTGTTGGCGGAGCTCTTCGATCTCTTGTCGCAGGTTCGTGTTGTCGGCCTGCACTTTCCGCAGTTCGCTGCTCGCCTCGCGTTCGATGTTGACGACATGATCGTAGCGCTTCTGGAGATATGAGATGACAGCTACATCATCGTCCTTGTCGTGACTGAGGGTTGCGCTTTCTGTTGTGACACGTCTTGGAGCAGCCGGGGCCTTGCGGTGGGGAGATTTGGTGGGGGTCACGGTGCAGCTAGCGCTGGTTGGCTTCATCCGCCCAACCTATGTTCGGTTAGTAAACATCCAATGCCGCGAGGTGTCAAAAGCATACCATTGCCTGTGGCGCTTTTCCCTTGCCAGCACGTGTACCAAGCATCTGGCGTCTTTCCAGCTGCATCTCGGCTCGACCGGACGAGCCGCGAGCGAGGTTTGTCGGGTTCTCCGACGTTGCAGCACCGACTACATCCAGTCCAGCATGCTCTTGATCATCCTGCCCCGTGGCCGCGCCTTCCTCCTCCCGTCCTTCAATGTCCATATGTACGGCTGCTGATGGACTTCGTTCGTGGTTCCCGGTCGTTTTCGCGGTTTTGCTCGGCCTGCCAGTCACGGTACCGTCTGACGCGGCGCGCTTCTTCGACCCTGTAGCGCGTGTAGGCTTCAAAGTGTTAGCATACGTGCAGTATATCAGCACTACAACTCACTATTGCTGAGCCTCGCGCATTGTCGTGGTCGACAGCCGAAGTCGTTCCAGTCTCCGTGGGAGAGTGCAAAGAAGGCGCCTGCCGCAAGATTTCATCACTGTACGCAGCGATATAGTCCATGACGTCTGGATCCAAGGAGAGGAATGAGATGCCTTCCTGTTCAAAGCGACGAATAGCGCGCTTGACTGAAGGCGCTTGCTTATGCAGATAGTTGCGGATGGCCTTCCATGTACGCGCATTGCTAATCCGGTGGAAGACGCTTGATTCGCCGACTCGCTGAAGCATCCTGTGAAGGTTCTTTTCGAGGCCCATCTGGGTTTCGTGGCAATGCTGCACGCATGCGAATAATAAAGCGCGTTCGTGTGGGGACCAGCGTGGAGGACAGCTGCTCATCGTGAGGGTCTCACAGACGTTGAGGACGCTAAAGACGCGGACAAAGTTGAATGTTCGAAGAAATGTAAGAAGTCGCGCGCTTGACGGTATCTTATACGAGCTCAAGATCACGGCTTTGGCGCTGCTGTTGTGTCCACGGTCGCCAACTTGTTGATTCAAGACACCCCTGTCTTAGAATGTTTGCTGCTGCACCTACATGGAACCTCACAGAAACTCCGCGGACAATACCCTGCATTTCTGTGGCGTTCAGATGCATAAAAATACATGGTATGTCTCACCAAGATCTGCACGTCGCCGTTAGCTCTTAGCGAAGGTTCAGTGCGCAATCGCGCCATGTCCATTCCATCTGTTTCTCTCCTAACCTGCCTCCGGTTTAGAGGAAGATATGGGTTCTTCCAACGTCACGCCCTCCCAGCGGGGCCGGCTTTTGTTGATCGTTGACATGGGAACGACATTCGCAACGGTCGCTCGTATTGCGGTCCCTCCAAATCGAAACGTTAACGACATTACGTACCGACATGTGGAATATTTCCACGATTGGCCGCGAAAAAATAAAGATGGCAAACATAGCGATGTGGTTCCCACAAAGCAGTGCTACGGCGGATCTCTTGATGACAACACCATTCTCTGGGGTTGGTCAATGTCTTCGAAAATCGAGAACCCCTGGGACGACATCCACCAGCTGAAGCATCGGTGGATCACTGGTTTGAAGCTGCTTTTGGATTCTTCGATCGATACTTCGGAGCTCGAGAAGAAACTAGACGACCTTCAACGAGACGGTTTCATCCACGCCCAAGACGATGCGTTTACGGACTACCTTGTGCAGTCGCTTACTCGAGTGCGGGAGAAGAATTTTGACGAAGGATTTGTACATCCAGAGTTCGTCATTTGTGCCCCCATTGCCTGGAGCGTGAAGTCGTATCATCGATGGTACAGCTCCTTTGTGTCAGCTATCCGTATAGTGTGGCCCGAACACGACGCGCAAACGCCGCCTCGAATCACAACAGCGTCTGAACCGGAGGCTGCAGCTTCTTACTGTCTTTCAAACTGGGGCGGCGATTTCGAAGTATGTTAATAGCTCTCTACGTAATGGGGTGATCGTCTAATCTTTGAGACAGGTGGAAGATTGCGTACTCAATGTGGACGCTGGAGGTGGAACCATCCAATTAACCACGCTCAAAAAGACGCGTCAGAATCCAGACCGCTGGGAGCTTGTCTGCGAAATGAGTTGTAAGAGCAACCACAACTATGGCGACTGCTCTGCAAATTACTGATATGGGACAGGCAAAACGTGTGGAGGCGAGTCTTGGAACAACAACGTTAGAAGAATACTGGAGAGAAAGTTCGCATGCCTCGAAGAAGAAGGAGTTCTTGGTCAACTTCTTCAAAGCAATGATTCTGTCTCCAACATCATCGAAAGTGCAGTGCAGTTCTTCGAGAGCGACATCAAAAGATCCTGTCCAGACTTGACGACGAGAGACACAGACCCAAACGAACGACCACCCGGATTTCGCATCTATGGTCTGCAGCCAGATCAAGCAAGGAATTTCGAGAGGAACGAGCTCTTTCTGACACCGTAAGAGTATATCCATCCTGAGGACCATATGGGTCACTAACGTGGCATAGAGAAGAATATGATGAAGTCGTGGGAGACTCTCTAACCGGCCTCGATGCGCTCTTCCACGAACAGTACCAGCATATTGAAGCCAAAGGAGAGACAGTCTCATGCGTCACCTGGACTGGCCAGTTCTCGGATAGCATGTTACTTCGTGACAGAGGAAAGGAGTGTACCCAAAATTGGCCTCATCCCCCAAAACACATTCATGACAAGGCGATCTCGTGAGTTCAAAAGGTATATACTATCAGTATCATGGGAGCTAACAGTCGAAAGGAGCTTTGCAGTGGCTGGTGGCGCAGGTATTCGAGCCCTGAATGTGGACATGTTCCCTCCGAGCCGGCTCCTCCGCGCGAGTTTCGCCG